GATTATTTACTAATAGTTTATTATAATTTCGACAGAATTTAGACAGTCACTAAGGGATTTCAGCAAGCAACCTTAGACTCTATCACGTGTACTCTCATGACAGAACTTAAAGTTATATTAAAATGGTAACAATATAAGTATTATTAGCATTTCTGGTATTAACACAAGTATTAATATTGTTGTTATTGTTAACACAAGTATTATTAACATTATTAATGTTGCTGGTATTGCTAATATTACTAGTATTAATACAAATTTAAAAACTAATAATATCTAAAATATAATTATCCAATAAAATAATAGCTAACTAAAAATAACTATTTAATAGAAATACTAATAAATATAATTCAATAATAATTAATATCTTCATTATTCAATAGAATTGTTCATTAAATATCATATTATGACAGTATTAAATATAATATTAGAAAAAAATCTAGAAAATAAAAAAATAATTATATTAACAACAATAAAAATTATTAACAAAAAAAAAGAATTTACTTTATCAATTAGACTTACTCAATATTAATAAAAACAAAGTTAGAATTTGTTACTCTAATTTTGCAAAAATAATTGGAATAAAGAAAATAGTTAATAGAGCAAAGAACAAAAGAAGTCAATATTTTTGGTATTTTTAATATTGTTTCAAATACGTTTTTGACTTGTATTATATTTGTTTTAAATTTTTATTTACTCAATAATTATTTTTTTAATTATTTCAACATTCTTGATATATTAAAAAAATCATGTTAATTTTTTATTGTTGTATAAATAAAGCAATTTTTGAATTGTTATATATTACTTTATCAAAAACAAAAATAAAAAAATACTCTTATAAAAATATATTATACTAAAAAGCTAATAATTTAAGTTGATTTTTTTATATAATCATTCAAATTAAAGATGTTTATTTAAATACTTTTTTCAAAAAAAATAATTTTGGTAATTTAGTTTAAAAATATTCATATTAATAAATATATAAAAGCCATTTATAAGTGTTTATTTATTTTGCTTTAAAAAATTCAAATAATTTTGAAAAACAATTTCAACTATTAATAAAATAAGTTTGAAAGTAATTTTGGCAATTTGATCTGCTTTTAAGAAAAGCATTTTAGCAATTATCTTTAATTCAAATTATAATAATTTTCCCTGGACTTTTATTTGTAAAATAAAGAGTCAGGTTTTATCGATCCCGGAAAATTATACTGTAATATTAAAGTTGATTTTGCTTTTTTTCAGTTTCTTGTGTCGGATTTGTTTTTCCGGGCTGATCGAGACTGATAAAACTTTTATTGGTTGCTGTGTCGAGATCGACAAAACCCGGCAGCCTAATTTTAAAATCAGACGGAATTATTGTCGCATAAACTTGGCCGACATTAACTTGATAAACGAACAATAATTGAAAATACACCATTTAATGTACTAAGATTAGCTGGCTCAATTAAAACTGTATAGATTACTAAAATAAGATAATATGCAGCTTAAATATTTATAAATCACGGAAAAAATAAGATCATTATTCTATGATAACTAAGATTAATAATAAATAATTCTTTCAATTGATTAAAGCTATATAAAAATAGTATCTAAAGTTTTATCAACTGTATTATATATAGGGATAAAGGGTATTACTAATTGCTATTATGTATTACCTCATCAGAAAATTCAATTAATATACAAATAATAAATCAATAATACAAGAAAAAAGCAAAAAAGCAAAAAAATCACAAGATACCACTATCTCTCAATGCATTCTGCAAAATTGTTTCCTTAACAGCCGCAAAAACCAACCTAAAATCAAAGCAAACAAATTAATCTCAATAGAAAATAATAAATATAATAAATTTATAAGGAAAATCTACCTTATCTATATATAATCAAAGTTATTAAAAAATCAATTAGTGCATCTCACTCTTTCAATGATTGATAAGAATTAAATAAATAAACAACTTACATTTGATGTATCTGTTGCCTGCGTTAAACTATTATATAATGAGTATAAATGTATTACATTAAAAATAAACTTCGTGTTAAAGAAATTAATATAAAAATAAATGTATCTAACTTACTGTGGATAAATATTAAGTCGTGCTCGGTTAGTTTGAGTAAATCGCCATAATATATACTTTGCAGCTTTATTAATATCAGCACCTCCTATTATTTTCATTTTAAATTTATCTATGTAATCTCATTTTTATTATCAAAACCAGAGGCTATAAATAATCAAAGTCGTATTTACCTTGATATTCAGGAAAATAATTTTCAAGAGGTACTTTAGGCAACTTAGCTTTAAAGAGATCAATCTTATTTAAAAATAATATAATTGAAGTTCTCAAAAACCATCGACTGTTTATTACAGATTCAAATAAGACAAGACTCTCTGCCATTCGATTCTAAGAATATTATTAGGTATCAATTTGGTTAATAAGCTTTGAAATATGATAAATGCGTAAAGTATATCGTTAAATACTTGGCCAGATTCTTCTAATAATACTTGATCATATTCACTTAAAGCTACACAGAAAATAATTGATGTGACAGCTTCAAAACAATGAATCCATTTTTTTCTTTCTGATCGTTGTCCTCCAACATCGAACATACTAAAAAAAACATGCTTTAATAAATTTTTAGAAATCTTTAAAGATATAGTAAATTAACATACTGTATACTCAATTGTCCCATATTAAATCGTGTTTCTGATATGCCTGTTGTCTTGGTTCTTGCTCTTAGAACATCCGCCTCAACAGGAATATAAGCAGGTGCACCTATTCTTCTCACATTTTCAAAAAAGCTAATAATAAAAGTACTTGATAAGTTCTAAGGTAACAAAAATATTCTAAATGTAACAACCACCATTGCATACTAACTATGGCGCGGAATCCATTAAATAAAAATGACTTCGTTTATCCATAACTTCTCTCATTATATCATCTTGCCATACAGATTCAATTGCTTCAACGATTTCTGGGCTAAGCTGAAAAGTTGGATCTGATTCTACATAATAATCCAATATCTTTTCGGCAAAAAGCTGTAATAGTGTTGAGAATATGAGTAAACTTAAAATTTGTTAAATTAACGTAAAACCTATATTTAGAAAGCTTCTTAAACTATTACCTCATTTACTGGATCCCGTGGAACAAATGTAAATTTTTTCAACGCGTGCACAATCGCTTGCGCTGAATCTATAAGATTTTTATACACAGTTATCCTATAAAGTGCCAGTTCTTCTTTAGTATATCCATTTTGATGTATTATTTTCATTTGTTTAACTATAGTTGATTTTCCTGATTCCCCTGAACCTAAAAATAAAAGAATTTAATTTTATATTTTTAGTGCAAAGATACAGAACTATTATGATGCAAAGCAAAAAAATTATAGTATGAATTAACCACTCCTCTATTCCACCAAGGGGTTTTAATATAATACCTAGCAGAAGAATTTTACATTCTTTTTTTAACTTTCTACCATCCTCTTCGATTCGTTTATCAATTTGAATACTTCTTTGACGTGATTCCTTTTCCTCTGCAGATAAACATAAACCCATAATATAAAAATGTATAAGTCAAGCTAAGATAGATATCTTATTCAATTATAAATTAATGATAATAAATTCTAAATATGCAAATGAGTATTTTAGATCTCTTTTTATAAGAGAATGTTAAAGTTTGTTGCGCAAAGTCGAATGATTTTGTTACTAAATTAATATTCTTTAACACTGTACTACCAGACGACTATGAAATAGTAATAAATGTGTATTTGAATTATTTATTAAAATGCACGTGAAAACTTTAAATATCACTAACGCTAATTTATGATGTGGTCGATCAATCTATTGCTGGAAGCCCCTCATAACACAAAGTATGTTGCTAAGCTATATAAAACTCAGTGTTTTACTTTATATACTACATTTCTCATAGTGTTTAAGACCAATATGAACAAGAATTTGAAATTAATAAAATTAATAATAAAATACTAATATATCTTTTTTGAAAAGTAACAATACAGTCAAATTCTCTATTTTTTTTTATTTATCTATAAACATAGTAAAAAAATTCCTTTATAATCAAAGTTCTTTACAATAATCATATTGAATTGGCACTTTTGGACTGATATATAGTGCTTATATTATAATATAAAATTTTTTAAAAAATTAAAAATTGTAAAAAATCATAATATTAATATAGTATAAATATATATAATAAAAACTTTAACTATATAATTATATTTTTTTATAATTCAATTTTGCTTTTTTAAGAACAATAATTATAAAAAAATTTGATTATATTAAAATAAATAATAATAATATAATAAACTTTCTTTAAATATAACTTTTAGAAATTAGCTTCAAAATATATATTTAAAAAGAAATATTAATTAATAATATTGATAGCCAATTATATCATTATATACAATAACTAACAAATTATAGAATCATATAATTTTATTAATAAAATACACAGTGAATCTGAATATAATAAAACCTGGATAAAACAAATTTTCATTTATAATGAAGTTTTTTGATGCATCAAATTTTTTTAATATAATTTTTTACCTGAATATAACAAAAACCTGATTATAATAAAAATAATAGATGAAATAGATCACTTTGTTATATCCAGGTTCACTGTATATAATAAAAATAAAAATTTTTGTTTTATATAAAAGTTTTTAATTTTATTTTAAAACAAAAATTATAAATTATAATTTAACATATATTTTTTCTGAATTTTTTAGATTTTTTTTGATAAGATTGTTCTAATTACAAAGTTATTGCAAAAATTTTTTATAATTAATTTTATATTTTAATTATAAAAAATTTTTGCAATAATTTTGCAATTAATTTATAATTTTGTTTTAATATAAAAAAGATTTTGTTAATCATTTTAAATAATATATTTGTATAATTTAAAGTTTTAATATTATAAATTAATAAAAATAATATTTAATTTTTTATTTTATTTTTTTAAAAAAGTATTACTTTATTTATTATTAAATAAAAATATTAAAAAATATTAAAAATAATATATAATAGCAATCAAAATAATATAATAATATCAAAATTTATTAATTAAATATAATAAAATACAAATTATTTTCTTTTTATATAAAAGTTTTCAATTTTTCTAATAAATATTTTTTATTTTTATATTAAAATAAAGATAATATTATATATTTTAACATATATTTTTTTCAGATTTTTTTAGATTTAATCTGATAAAGTTATTCTAATTATATATAAAATTAATTATTTTTTATAATTAAAACATTAATAAAATTAAAAACTTTTATATAAAGAGAAAAATTCTCATTTTACTATATTTAATTAATTAATTTTGATATTATTATATTATTTTTAATTGTCACTATAAATACTTTTGTATCAGATTATATATTATATTATATTATTTAATATTTTATAATTATATTATAATTATATTATTAATTTTAAATAATATTTTTATAAAATAAACTAGTTAATTATTTTAGAAATAATAGTTAATAATATATATTTGTTATTTTTATAATAGATTTTTTATAAATAACAAAAATAATATTCTTAATATAAATTATATTTAATAATATATATTATTTTAATCAACACAAAAAGATTACTTGATCAATTTAGAATATGAATATATAATTAAAAATTCTTTTATATTTTTCAGTATTCAATTATATTTATATAATTAAGTAAAATAAAATAATTATCAATAATAAAATAAAATAATTATCAATAATAAAATAAAATAATTATTAGAATTAATACTTATCTTATAATTATTTTAGTTTATTAATTAAAAATCTAAGAAATAAATTAAAGTTTTTTAATAATTTTGAATTTGAAAATATTGTAAAGTTATTAAGTTTCTTATTTTATATAATCTATTAATAGAAAATTTATATTAATTAATAGAATTATTCAGTAATTATTATATTTTATTAAAAAATTTGAAACTTATTTTAATAAAGTTATAGTAATCTTTCAGAATATTTTAAAATATAATAATATAAAAATTAATAAAAAAAGCAAGATTTATAATTTTAAGCTAATAAAATTATTAAAATATATTATATAATATATTAAAATTTCAAGTGATTTTGATAATTATAATCAAATATTTATATAGTTATCATTTTTAAAAAAGCAAAATTTGGTAATTATAGAGAGAATGTGATTATAAAAAGATTTTTATTATATTTATATATAGATATGACTACAAATAAGTGTAAATATAGAGGAATTTGATTATACTTTAAAAAATATATATATAAATATAAAAAATAAAATTTAGTATCAAATCAAAATTTATATAAAAAAATATTTTATTTTATAAAAATACAAATATTTTCATATTGTTACCATATTTTATGAGTCCTTGGGAGAGCAGGTGAGTGCTTAATAACGTTATAATAAGTTACTTGACCAG